TCCGCGTGGTGGCTGTCACGAATTTTGCATTTATCGTATTTTTATTAGTATATGAATTTTAGTTTTTTGGAAAGCTTTTGAAGCAGTATCTAAAAATATTTCCATAATATAAGAAAATAATTGCAAATTATTTTTACAATTGCATAGCAGTATTGTGTCATTTAGAACAAAAAAAATATACTTGTATATTTCATACTTGAATAAGAAATATAAGAAATTATACAAATTATTTTGCTTGTATTCTTGAATAGTGTTGATATGATTGAGTTGAATGTGAAAATTTTATTTTCCAAATTTTGTGTAATTTAATATTGAAAAATTGAATATTGAGCACCATATTCATAGGCATTTATATTTTGTGATTCATATATATTTAATATTTATTTTATGCTTATGTTGAAAAAATAAAAATCTGAAATTTTTTTTGAAATTCGATTTGGTAAGTGAATGTACGGTGTTTTGCATTCTCGGTATATAAAAATACAGTAAACTGCAAATACAGTAGGTAGCGTATACGATAAGTTGTAAATATGGTAGATAGCATATACGGTTATCACTTAGCTGCAAATACGGTAATGTGAAAATACGGTAAGTTGTTTGCAAATACGGTAGGCAGCATATACGGTAAGATGCAAATACGGTAAGTTATTTGCAAATACGATAGGTTGCAAATACGGTAAACTGCAAATACGATAGGCAGCATATACGATATGTTGTATATACGGTAATTTGCCTACAAATACGGTGAGCTGCATATATGGATTTATAATTTGTTATAAATGTATAAAATTTATTTAATATTGAATTTTTTAAGTATTAAATGTTGTAATTCAATATTGTTTCCTTTTTATAATTGTATTTCCGAGAATTTAAAAAAAAAAGTTATGAAATTGCTAATTTTTAAATGTGTTTTTTTTGTTAAAGATAAAAATGATTTTTATATGTTATTTGTAAAAAAAAATTTTATTGTAATTTTATTAGCATAATAAAAAGATTTATTATACATTTTTATTTTTTGTATTTTGTTAAAAATTTTGTTTATAGTGATTGACAAATATTCTTTCACACACGCTTCATACCAACAACATTAAAATAATAATAATAATTTTAGCATATATAAACTTCACGAGATAAAAAAAATCTCCGCACATGAGAAAAAAACTTCTCAAAGTGCGGAGAGATGACAAATTATCTCTCCGCATAGTGTGAAAAGAAAAATAAAAACTTTCGGGACTTTATTTGCAAATTTCAAGAGGTCTTTTCTCAAACCACTTTTGAGTAATATATTAAACACTTTAATTCCTGCCCTACAACCCAAAAGTATAATTTCATTGAAAATTGTATCCGCTTCTAATGTCCAAGAGCTGTTATCAAGTAAATGTAAAATTTTGAATTTGAGTAGTACCCTAGAGCCTCAATGCCATGGTACTATCAATATCCCCTTATTTGCACAACTCACATATTGTTTCATTGTAGGAATCACGAGAAAGCTCCTTTCCAACACCGTAAATATGATTTGCATGCTCAGAAATTAAGCTGTAACTGAAATTTAAAGAAAACATAATTGATTTTGAGCCATGTTTTTCGACTCTATTTCGCTATGTATACGAAAAATTTACAATTTTGAAATTTGACTTGTAATTAAGGAATTTGAAAACAACTCTTCGTACTATGCGGAGAGTTTTTTCTCTCTGTATTATGCGAAGAGTTGGTTTGTCATCTATCCGCACTCTGCGGAGAGTTTTTTTTACTCCGCACTGTGTGAAGAGTTTTGCCATGGTGCGGACCAACTCTCCGGACTGTACGAAGAGATTAACTCTCTCCGCACAATGCGGAGAGTTCTTTTTTCTTTTTCTTTCCGTACTGTGTGGAGAGTTGGTTTGTCATCTCTCCGCACTGTGCGAAGAGGGTTTTTTTTTTTTTGTTACTCTGCACTGTACAGAGGTTTTTTCTCTCCGCACATTTTTTTATTTTTTATTTTTACTCCGCAATTGGTTCAACTCTCTTCACACTATGTGGAAAGTTTTTTTTTTTTTTTTTTTCAATTTCACAGTATTTAATTACACAATTTATAAATATAATATTCACATTCAATTCAATTATATCAACACTATCAAAGAATACAAGCAAAATAATTTGTTTATTTCTTATTCAAGCATGAAATATACGAGTATATTTTTTCTAGATATCATACTGCTATACAATTATAAAAATCATTTACAATTATTTTCTTATATCATGAAAATATTTTTAAATATTGCTTCAAAAATTTTGCAAAAAACTAAAATTCATACACTAATAAAAATACGATAAATACAAAATTTGTGCAATGCACGTTATAGCGAGTAGTTTCATAAAAAATCACAACTAAAAAAGAGGGTCCTAAATTGCATTTCCAAAGTGGTTTCCAAATCTGTCATCACCAATTGATATATGACTGGTAACTTCATTCGAAAACAAATCCAAGACAAGCACTTGCGATAGAATCAAGATTCAAGTCTCTATAGTAACCGAAGGTTCTTTATTATAGTGATTCTTCCATTTCCATCCTACATATCCTCCATAATAGTGTAAAACGAACCCAAAAGACATTATTCTTCAACATTTAATTAAAACGTTCTGCTCCTTGTCTCAAAAGAATAACATATAATCAAGCTTAACCAGTTCAAAATTGTGAAAGAACATAATTTTCATAAATCTCTACGAAGATTTTTAAGCTCAGAGGGAGACTGGTAATATCTGCTGTGCTCCTTATCTGAGGCATAATCGAGGAACTCGAGTTTAGTTTGCCAGTCGATCAGAACCAGTTTACAGGTCAGCATCTTCATCTTTGTCGAGAGAGGCAGACAGGAAGCTTAAGATGAAGCCGTCTAGATCACCTTCTAGGACAGAATCGGGATGAGAAACCTCATAATCCGTCCGATGATCCTTCACCATTCGGTAAGGCTGCAAAACAGGAATGCAAAGAACAGTTGAGGCATCCGTGCAATCCAGGATACTCCTAAACATATTAGAAAATGAACAAAAGTTTCAAACGCATACGTGAAGGACATAAGAGCGTATTTGGCTGCCAAAATTTATGTCGGTAAGGGATTGTGTGTGCTCTGCATTCATCTCAGCTTGACGCTGCATCTCAAGCTGGTCCAAACGAGATTGAAGTACGGCCATGGCAGAAGCCTTGTTTTGATGCTGTGACCTGTTGTCGGAACAAGTCCACAACTTCCGATTAAGCTTCATGTCTTGTACTAGAAAAATGTTGAGTTAAAAACACTGTTAGTCACCCAACTATAGTGCTGTTTCACTTAGGTTGTTGAACTTTTTCACGCTCCAAATTAGTCATTGAACTTGCTTTTTGTTTCAATTTAGGCATTCTGTTTACTTCAGTCTGCCAAAATACTAAAAGTCTGAAAATGCTGAAATGGTGGTGTGGGGATTCAGGGGTGGGGGGGACTCCAGGTATTTGGGGAAGATCAATTTTTCCATTTTTACACATATTTTCTTGTTTTGGTCACTTCGGAAAAAGCACATTTAGAAAGCACAACTAGCTTAACGAGATGTGATTTATGCCTAGTTAGACACACACATAAAACACCATTCACTAGTGGATTTTCAACTCCAGTTATAGTTTTAGCTAGTCACCTAATTAATTCAGCAGACAATGTGCCTAAAGTTCATTGATTAATTTAGAGAAAAAATAACAAAATGAAACAACACCATAGGTGGGCAACCACAGCTTTTTAAATAAGAAAAGGCTGCATACCTTTCATTTTGACAAGAGGC